TCACACAACCTATGTTAACACGGGATTCTCACACAACCTATGTTAACACGGGATTCTCACACAACCTATGTTAACTCGGGATTCTCACACAACCTATGTTAACACGGGATTCTCACACAACCTATGTTAACACGGGATTCTCACACAACCTATGTTAACACGGGATGCTCACACAACCTATGTTAACACGGGATTCTCACACAACCTATGTTAACACGGGATGCTCACACAACCTATGTTAACACGGGATGCTCACACAACCTATGTTAACACGGATTCTCACACAACCTATGTTAACACGGGATGCTCACACAACCTATGTTAACACGGGATGCTCACACAACCTATGTTAACACGGGATTCTCACACAACCTATGTTAACACGGGATTCTCACACAACCTATGTTAACTCGGGATTCTCACACAACCTATGTTAACACGGGATGCTCACACAACCTATGTTAACACGGGATTCTCACACAACCTATGTTAACACGGGATGCTCACACAACCTATGTTAACACGGGATGTTCACACAACCTATGTTAACACGGGATGCTCACACAACCTATGTTAACATGGGATGCTCACACAAACTATGTTAACATGGGATGCTCACACAACCTAGCTCTGCTAGCACAATGCTCGCACTACCTAGCCAGACCTTGCCAGATGTTGTCAGAGAAACACACAGACTGTTTCAAAGGGGAGTTATTCTGACAGTCTTGATGTGCCAACCAAGTTTATTGAAATATTGAATTTATATCCCATGGTCATCTACTCCTACAAGAATATCCAAGTTCACTTCAGTAAGGCTTTTGACAGGGTCCCACATCAGAGACTATTGAGGAAAATTAAAGCACATGGAATAGGAGGAGAAATTTTTTCCTGGATAGAGGCATGGTTGACAAATAGGCAGCAGAGAGTTTGCATAAATGGGGAGAAATCAGAGTGGGGAAGCGTCACGAGCGGTGTTCCACAGGGGTCAGTGTTGGGCCCCCTGCTGTTCACAATCTACATAAACGACATAGATGAGGGCATAAAGAGCGACATCGGCAAGTTTGCCGATGACACCAAAATAGGCCGTCGAATTCATTCTGACGAGGACATTCGAGCACTCCAGGAAGATTTGAATAGACTGATGCAGTGGTCGGAGAAGTGGCAGATGCAGTTTAATATAGACAAATGCAAAGTTCTAAATGTTGGACAGGACAATAACCATGCCACATATAAACTAAATAATGTAGATCTTAATATTACGGATTGCGAAAAAGATTTAGGAGTTCTGGTTAGCAGTAATCTGAAACCAATACAACAGTGCATAAGTGTTCGCAATAAAGCTAATAGAATCCTTGGCTTCATATCAAGAAGCATAAATAATAGGAGTCCTCAGGTTGTTCTTCAACTCTATACATCCTTGGTTAGGCCTCATTTAGATTATGCTGCACAGTTTTGGTCACCGTATTACAGAATGGATATAAATTCTCTGGAAAATGTACAAAGGAGGATGACAAAGTTGATCCCATATATCAGAAACCTTCCCTATGAGGATAGACTAAGGGCCCTGAAACTGTACTATCTAGAAAGACGTAGAATTAGGGGGGATATGATTGAGGTGTATAAATGGAAGACAGGAATAAATAAAGGGGATGTAAATAGTGTGCTGAAAATATCTAGCCTAGACAGGACTCGCAGCAATGGTTTTAAGTTAGAAAAATTCAGATTCAGGAAGGATATAGGAAAGTACTGGTTTGGTAATAGAGTTGTGGATGAGTGGAACAAACTCCCAAGTACCGTTATAGAGGTCAGAACGTTGTGTAGCTTTAAAAATAGGTTGGATAAATACATGAGTGGATGTGGGTGGGTGTGAGTTAGACCTGATAGCTTGTGCTACCAGGTCGGTTGCCGTGTTCCTCCCTTAAGTCAATGTGACCTGACCTGACTAGGTTGGGTGCATTGGCTTAAGCCGGTAGGAGACTTGGAGCTGCCTCGCATGGGCCAGTAGGCCTTCTGCAGTGTTCCTTCGTTCTTATGTTCTTATGTTCTTATTTGTGTCTACATGGATATCAAATTAGCCAAGATCATCCGCTCCAAGACCAGTCACTCAACCAAGACCAACCACCCATCCATCCAAGACCAGCCACTCATCCAAGACCAACCACCCATCCATCCAAGACCAGCCACTCATCCAAGACCAACCACCCATCCATCCAAGACTAACCACTAATCCAAGACCAACCACCCATCCAAGACCAAGCACCCATCCAAGACCAGCCACTCATCCAAGACCAACCACCCATCCAAGACCAGCCACTCATCCAAGACCAACCACCCATCCAAGACCAGCCACTCATCCAAGACCAGCCACTCATCCAAGACCAACCACTCATCCAAGACCAACCACTCATCCAAGACCAACCACTCATCCAAGACCAACCATCCATCCAAGACCAACCATCCAGCCAAGACCAACCATCCAGCCAAGACCAACCACTCATCCAAGACCAACCACCCATCCAAGACCAGCCACTCATCCAAGACCAGCCACTCATCCAAGACCAACCACCCATCCAAGACCAGCCACTCATCCAAGACCAGCCACTCATCCAAGACCAACCACCCATGCAAGGCCAGCCACTCATCCAAGGCCAGCCACTCATCCAAGACCAACCACTCAACCAAGACCGGCCACTCATCCAAGACCAACTATCCATCCAAGACCAACCACCCATCCAAGGCCAGCCACTCATCCAAGGCCAACCACTCATCCAAGGCCAACCACTCATTCAAGGCCAACCACTCAACCAAGACCGGCCACTCATCCAAGACCAGCCACTCATCCAAGACCAGCCACTCATCCAAGACCAGCCACTCATCCAAGACCAGCCACTCATCCAAGACCAGCCACTTATTCGTGATTTTCCATAACATTTCATTCATCCAAGACCATCCACTCATCCAAGACAAGCTACTCATCGAAGACCATCCACGACTATTCACTCATCCAAGGCTATTCACTCATCAAAGACCAACCTCTTATCAAGACCAACCCGTCATCAAGACCAACCCGTCATCAAGACCAACCTGTCATCAAGACCAACCCGTCATCAAGACCAACCCGTCATCAAGACGAGTCAACTAAGAAACCTTCAGTAGCACCTCCCTCACCCATGTCTGCAGCTGCTGCTGCAGCAGCAGCTGCTCATCTGTACAATCAGAACATACGAACATACAAAACAGAATCCCTGCAATAGGCCTATTGGCTCATTCTAGGTAGGTTCAGCTCACACTCACACATTCCCACATCTACCTCTGGAACAGGAAGGCTTCCTACGAAGATCCCATCCCTGCCTGCTCCTGTTACGGGTACAAGTTACTACTGGAATCCACCACTTTTGGTTGTTACTGTGAAAGTCTTCCTATAGAATCACCTACCACTGCCTACAGGAGCGTGAGATATATGCCAGTAACCTTTCCCAGGTAGCACAACCACCTGCATATACCCTTTTATTGCAAATATTGTTTTTGTATTGCATCTTGTTGTTATGGTTTGAATCTTAATCTTTAGCCAGGTTAGTGCACTCCGTAACAATGCACTTCATAGAATGAGAAGATACTTCCAAACTTAGAAATGTAAGGCACAAATAATAGTTACTCAGTCTTTTCTAGTTTCTTTTTATTTTTTAGCTTAAATACTTCTTAGATATTCATAAATATCTATTAAATGTCACTTCGTCAGAAACTCATTCACATAAGAAAACACTTAAATAGAATGTACATCACTACACTGGTTAATGATCAGAGGAATATAACTGCTTCCTCAATAATGGCATTACTTGTATGCGAGTACATACATTGAGAAGGAACACCTTCACTGAGTAACTCCCTGGCATAAGGAATATATCACTTAAAGTTCTAAACTTGACACTGGTCGTCACATCGTAAACTGAGGGTTAACAGTATATAACTGTCCGCAACTTCACTTCAGAATAAACCTCAAGCTGGTTCGGGAGTTTCTACAACACAATTCTCTATCCAAGTGAGAATAAGGTGGAGTACTGGAGGGGTAGCTCAGTCAATGCACACTGAGTCGGCAGACAGAGCGAACTGAATTAACACAGTTAATCCCTACATGACATCAACTCGCCAAAGGGGAGAGGGAATAGTAGGCTAAATTTACTACCCTCTAAGGACATACCTTGTTCCAACTCTTAGCCAGCTGTTACCTACCTACCAACACAATACTCAAAATACATAAATATATATATACACACTATACCCGGGTATATTCCTAAATCAGATATTATAAACTAGTGAAATCTTTAATTTAGCTAATATTAAAGAAACCCCAAATATAATATTAAGTGGATAATACATATATAAATTAATCTCATTATGACCTTGGTCATAACACTTGTCAACAATGCCAACGTGTAACTTGGCGTCTCAATAAGAATTTAATTATTTAAAATCTGTTAAAATGACCTGTTTTTCTTTCAATTACTTTTAAATTAAACAAAGTCATACATGTTGCACTGCATAACTTGCAGCATTTCCTTAATATATATGATATTAGTGCCCAGCACTACAGCTGGGTGTGTACACTCACATCTTGTTACAGTTCACAGGTTCCAACCTACAGCATTAAAGCGCATATTTGTGAGTTTATACTTCGGTAAACTGTACAGTTTGCCAAATAAGTTTCCACTGCACTTTTAAATTAAACTAGTTAGTTAAACATCATTAATTTGTACCATTTAACTTTCATGATACTTCAAAAGTCTTAATTATTAAATTTTAATTGAAACATACTGTGACTTCGTTAGTTATTATTAATTGTTTTGTTTTTATTCATACCACATATTAAAGAAAATAATAGTGAATAATATGCAATTAACACTATGGTAAGGTATATCCATGGACTTGCCACCCCATGCCTGTAGCTGAGGGCTCCCATGAACAACTCCCATTCCTTCCATGATCATGACTGCATCACTGACCTGCGTGGTGGTGTTGAGGTTGATCGCTAGGCGTGTCTCCACGGTGTCCAGACGACGCACCAGTCGCTCCAGCGCACGATCCATGTTTTCCACCCGGCGAAGCTTCGTCTCCAGCGTAGTCAGTAGCACCTCGAACAGGTTGAAGATGTAGGGGTCTCTGTGGAGGCAAGAGAATAGTGTGAGAGCGTGAAGATGTAGGGGTCTCTGTGGAGGCAAGAGAATAGTGTGAGAGCGTGAAGATGTAAGGGGTCTCTGTGGAGGCAAGAGAATAGTGTGAGAGCGTGAAGATGTAAGGGGTCTCTGTGGAGGCAAGAGAATAGTGTGATGAGCGTGAAGATGTAAGGGGTCTCTGTGGAGGCAAGAGAATAGTGTGAGAGCGTGAAGATGTAAGGGGTCTCTGTGGAGGCAAGAGAATAGTGTGAGAGCGTGAAGATGTAAGGGGTCTCTGTGGAGGCAAGAGAATAGTGTGAGAGCGTGAAGATGTAAGGGGTCTCTGTGGAGGCAAGAGAATAGTGTGAGAGCGTGAAGATGTAAGGGGTCTCTGTGGAGGCAAGAGAATAGTGTGAGAGCGTGAAGATGTAAGGGGTCTCTGTGGAGGCGTGTGAGAGTGTGAAGATGTAGGGGTCTCTGTGGAGGCAAGAGAATAGTGTGAGAGCGTGAAGATGTAAGGGGCCTCTGTGGAGGCAATAGTGTGAGAGCGTGAAGATGTAAGGGGTCTCTGTGGAGGCAAGAGAATAGTGTGAGAGCGTGAAGATGTAAGGGGTCTCTGTGGAGGCGTGTGAGAGCGTGAAGATGTAGGGGTCTCTGTGGAGGGAGGGCACAGTGTGGACTGGTTATCACTATAGCAGCTGCGGACTAGTTGCTACTGCAGCAGCTGTGGACCGATTACTACTGCACCTGTAGACTAGTCACCACTATAACAGCTGTGGCCTGGTCGCAACTATAGCAGTTGTGGAATGGTCGCTACTGTATCAGCTGTGGACTAGTCACCGTTATAGCAGCTGTAGACTGATCACTACTGCAGCAGCTGTGGACTGGTCGCTACTATAGCAGCTGTGGACTGGTCGCTACTATAGCAGCTGTGGACTGTTCGCTACTGTAGCAGCTGTGAACTGGTCACTACTGTAGTAGTAGTGCACTCATCACTACTGCAGCAGCTGTGGACTAGTCACCACTATACTAGCTGGCAGACTAGTCACAATTACTTTCTGGATTTATATATGACCGAGTCTGCAACTCAGAACGAGTCGTTTCCTGTCTTGTTTATTACCTCCCTAACTTTTTAAGGAAAACTAGATGTGTGTTAATGATACCCAGTCCTGACACAGCAGATATTTTAACCCGTTTGTGGATCCAGTGATCCAGTGATCCACGGGTGAATATCTGATCCACACCTACATCAAATTCACTATCACGAACTACCTAAATATACACTCCACATTTGCAACCTATCCAATACCACTTAAGTTTCTGAAATCCCGTTTTAATTACTTTACGTAATGTTAGGTAAGACACATATGCAACAGTTAAGAATCTTTATTTCGAAACGTTTCGCCTACACAGTAGGCTTCTTCAGTCGAGTACAGAAAAGTTGATAGAAGAGACGTAAAGACGATGTAATCAGTCCATCACCCTTGAAGTTTTGAGGTGGTCAGTCCCTCAGTCTGGAGAAGAGTATTGTTCCATAGTCTGAAACAATAACCTGGAACAATACTCTACTCCAGACTGAGGGACTGACCACCTCAAAACTTCAAGGGTGATGGACTGATTACATCGTCTTCACGTCTCTTCTATTATCAACTTTTCTATACTCGACTGAAGAAGCCTACTGTGTAGGCGAAACGTTTCGAAATAAAGTTTCCTAACTGTTGCATATGTGTCTTACCTAACAACCCCCAGGTATTTTATACCATTCTAATATTCACTTAACGTAATCGTTATTAAGTTGAAGTTAGCTTACTAGGTTACCTATATAGATAAAAACCCAAATTCGTCAACAAATAAATGAATTAAACCAACTTGGTTTTGGCTGGCAAGAACGAGGCTTGCTGAGATGCTGCAATGTATCTTTCCTCTATAGAACAAAGAGATAACTTATTTTCTAATGCAAATTGCCTCGTTTTAGAGCTGATTGAGCAGTTTTCCGACATATTGAAAAATTCACACTTTAACACATAAATAACAGAAACTGTTACATTTTTTTTTTTACAATCTCGTCGTTCGCTTCGATTTACGCTTCAGTGATTTTCTACCAGCCAAAAAAAAAAAAAAAAAAAAAAAAAAAAAAAAAAAAAAAAAAAAAAAAAAAAAAAAAAAAACTTGCTTGCGAAAATTTTCCTCCATGATAACTTGTTATTCAGTTCATAGTAATTTACACGTTTTTCACATGTCTTTTTTTTCAATTTTATTTGTTGTTGTTTTTAGTATTTTTTTTTATCAGGCTCTTAAATTTACTGTCTACGTTATTAAGTTCATTGAGAAAAACTGTTCAGGCAGCGATAACAATATTGTGAGCAAACACAGTATTGGTACAAACACAGTATTGGTACAAACACAGTATTGGTACAAACACAGTATTGGTACAAACACAGTATTGGTACAAACACAGTATTGGTACAAACACAGTATTGGTACAAACACAGTACTGGTACAAACACAGTATTAGTAGCAAACACAGTATTAGTAGCAAACACAGTATTAGTAGTAAACACAGTATTAGTAGTAAACACAGTATTAGTAGTAAACACAGTATTAGTAGTAAACACAGTATTAGTAGTAAACACAGTATTAGTAAACACAGTATTAGTAAACACAGTATTAGTAAACACAGTATTAGTAAACACAGTATTAGTAAACACAGTATTAGCAAACACAGTATTAGTAGTAAACAGTATTAGTAGTAAACACAGTATTAGTAGCAAACACAGTATTAGTAGCAAACACAGTATTAGTAGCAAACACAGTATTAGTAGTAAACACAGTATTAGTAGTAAACACAGTATTAGTAGTAAACACAGTATTAGTAGTAAACACAGTATTAGTAGTAAACACAGTATTAGTAGTAAACACAGTATTAGTAAACACAGTATTAGTAAACACAGTATTAGTAAACACAGTATTAGCAAACACAGTATTAGTAGTAAACAGTATTAGTAGTAAACACAGTATTAGTAGCAAACAGTATTAGTAGTAAACACAGTATTAGTAGTAAACACAGTATTAGTAGTAAACAGTATTAGTAGTAAACACAGTATTAGTAGCAAACAGTATTAGTAGTAAACACAGTATTAGTAGTGAACAGTATTAGTAGTAAACACAGTATTAGTAGTAAACAGTATTAGTAGTAAACACAGTATTAGTAAACACAGTATTAGCAAACACAGTATTAGTAAACACAGTATTAGTAAACACAGTATTAGTAGCAAACACAGTATTACTAAACACAGTATTAGTAAACACAGTATTAGTAAACACAGTATTAGTAGCAAACACAGTATTAGTAAACACAGTATTAGTAAACACAGTATTAGTAGCAAACACAGTATTAGTAGCAAACACAGTATTAGTAGTAAACAGTATTAGTAGTAAACACAGTATTAGTAGTAAACAGTATTAGTAGTAAACACAGTATTAGTAGTAAACACAGTATTAGTAGTAAACAGTATTAGTAGTAAACACAGTATTAGTAGTAAACACAGTATTAGTAGTAAACACAGTATTAGTAGTAAACACAGTATTAGTAGTAAACACAGTATTAGTAGTAAACAGTATTAGTAGTAAACACAGTATTAGTAGTAAACAGTATTAGTAGTAAACACAGTATTAGTAGTAAACAGTATTAGTAGTAAACACAGTATTAGTAGTAAACACAGTATTAGTAGTAAACACAGTATTAGTAGTAAACAGTATTAGTAGTAAACACAGTATTAGTAAACAGTATTAGTAGTAAACACAGTATTAGTAGTAAACAGTATTAGTAGTAAACACAGTATTAGTAGTAAACACAGTATTAGTAGTAAACAGTATTAGTAGTAAACACAGTATTAGTAGTAAACAGTATTAGTAGTAAACACAGTATTAGTAGTAAACACAGTATTAGTAGTAAACACAGTATTAGTAGTAAACACAGTATTAGTAGTAAACAGTATTAGTAGTAAACACAGTATTAGTAGTAAACAGTATTAGTAGTAAACACAGTATTAGTAGTAAACACAGTATTAGTAAACATAGTATTAGTAGCAAACACAGTATTAGTAGTAAACAGTATTAGTAGTAAACACAGTATTAGTAGTAAACACAGTATTAGTAGTAAACAGTATTAGTAGTAAACACAGTATTAGTAGTAAACAGTATTAGTAGTAAACACAGTATTAGTAGTAAACACAGTATTAGTAGTAAACAGTATTAGTAGTAAATGCAGTATTAGTAGTAAACAGTATTAGTAGTAAACACAGTATTAGTAGTAAACAGTATTAGTAGTAAACACAGTATTAGTAGTAAACACAGTATTAGTAAACACAGTATTAGTAGCAAACACAGTATTAGTAGTAAACAGTATTAGTAGTAAACACAGTATTAGTAGTAAACACAGTATTAGTAGTAAACAGTATTAGTAGTAAACAGTATTAGTAGTAAACACAGTATTAGTAGTAAACACAGTATTAGTAGTAAACACAGTATTAGTAGTAAACACAGTATTAGTAGTAAACAGTATTAGTAGTAAACAGTATTAGTAGTAAACACAGTATTAGTAGTAAACACAGTATTAGTAGTAAACAGTATTAGTAGTAAACACAGTATTAGTAGTAAACACAGTATTAGTAAACACAGTATTAGTAGTAAACACAGTATTAGTAGTAAACAGTATTAGTAGTAAACACAGTATTAGTAAACAGTATTAGTAGCAAACACAGTATTAGTAGTAAACACAGTATTAGTAGTAAACACAGTGTTAGTAGTAAACAGTATTAGTAGTAAACACAGTATTAGTAGTAAACACAGTATTAGTAAACACAGTATTAGTAGTAAACACAATATTGGTAGCAAACACAGTATTAGTAGTAAACACAGTATTAGTAGTAAACACAATATTGGTAGCAAACACAATATTGGCAGTTAACACAATATACTGGTAGTAAACACAATATTGGTAGCTAT